GCCCGCGCGCACAGAGAGAGGAGGAGAGAGGGAGGGGGCGCAGATACGTGCATCGCTCGCACGCTGCGGTATGGTTGCAAAATAGAGTGATGGTGCAGAAGCCGACAGGAGAGACGGGCGACTGTGTCGCAGACGCAAGACGAGGGGCAGCAGGGGGAGAAGAAGAAAGGCGGAAGGCGAGAGTTCGCGAGAACAAAAGGAAGTGAAGAACACATTCACGACGCTGTCTCGGCACAACTTGTTGCTTTTGCCTGCTGCTGCTGTGTGGGTGTGTCTTACGACTGCACGCGCGCATGTTTCCTTTTCTTTTTCTTCTCGTTTTCTAGTCTCTCTTTTCTGCGTCTCGCAGAGCTCTGGGAAGGTAGCTGTCTGTCGGCTCCGCAGCGTGACAAGCCCGCTCACCAGCTTCCTCGTGCGAATAACGCGTGCGCGACGTGGGGCGCAGGAGTTGGAGGCCGTGCGTTTAATTATTATTCCTNTGTGTGTGTGTGTGTGTGGACCATGTACCGTGACGCACGGCGGGCGGATGCGTCGCCGGTGGTTGGGTCCCCGTTGCGTGGCGCATGGGCGTCGCGCCCGCCGCTGACGCTCAGCGACCCGCTCGCGCAGAACACCACCGGTCACGAGAGCAACAACAGCATCAGCAACACAGAGGAGGACTATATGCCACCTGCCTCTATCTCTAATTATTCCCCGTCCAGTCGCCTCACTGCGAATACCGCTGCTGTGGCTACTACTACTACTACTACTGCTACTGCTGGTGCTGTTGTTGTTGCTGGCGGCGGCGGCGGCGGCGGTAGTGACGACAGCGACGAGTCGAACTTCAAAGTTGTGATTCGCGTGCGGCCACCGGTGCCGCGCGAGTTGGACGGCTACCGCCCGTACGTGGACGTGGTGCGCATCCCCAAGGAGAGCCGCTCCATCACGCTGTGCGAGACGCTCGACTCGGACGACGGCCGCGGCGGCGTCTACTCGCGGCAGAGCTTCACCTTTGACTACGTGTACGGCCAGCACGCGCAGCAGCGCGAGGTGTACGAGCGCAGCGCCCAGCCGGCGGTGATGTCGGTACTGCAGGGCTACAACGCCACCCTCATGGCGTATGGCCAGACAGGAACGGGTAAGACGTACACAATGGAGGGTTTCACCAGCGAGGACCAGCGCGGCATCATCCCACGCGCCATTGAGGAGGTCTTTGCGTCCATCGACGTGGGCCGCCACGAGAACATGCGCTTCCTGGTGCGCGCGTCGTACATGCAGATATACAATGAGGTCATCTCAGACCTGCTGAAGCCGGCCANACGAGAACATGCGCTTCCTGGTGCGCGCGTCGTACATGCAGATATACAATGAGGTCATCTCAGACCTGCTGAAGCCGGCCACCGCGCGGGCGCTGACGGTGCGGCACACGCCGCAGCGTGGGGTGTACGTGGAGGGGCTGTCGGAGTGGATTGTGCGAAGCCCGTACGACGTGTACGGTCTCATCGAGCGCGGCACCGCGCTGCGCGCAACAAGCACGACGCGCATGAGCGAGCTGTCGTCACGCTCGCACGCCATGTTCACCATTATTGTGGAAATCATGGAGGGCGACGAGCCAAACCCCACATCGTACCGCTTCGGCAAACTTAACATCGTCGACCTCGCCGGCAGTGAGAAGGTGCGGCAGGCCGGCGTCACCGGGCAGCGGCTCGAGGAGACGAAGAAGATCAACAGGTCACTGCATGAGCTGGGCAACGTCATCTCGGCGCTCGCCAGTAAGTCAGGCGGACGAAATCGACACGTGCCCTTCCGAAACTCCGTCCTCACGAGCGCGCTGCGGGACTCGCTGGGCGGAAACTGCAAGACGACACTCATCGCCTGCATCTCGCCCGCGCTGGAGTCCTACACGGAGTCGCTCTCCACACTCGTGTTTGCCAACCGCGCGAAGAATATCAAGAACACGGCGTTTATCAACGAAGACTTTGATCAGGCAACGCTGCTGCGCAAGTACGAGCAGGAGCTGAAGAAGCTGCGGCAGCAGCTGCAGGATCGCGAGGCCATGTCGAGTGTCAGCGGTGGCGTTGACGCGGGGCTCGTGTCGGAGCTGCGGCAAGGTATGCGGCGAGCGGAAGAGGACCGCGAGGCGGCGCTGGAGGCCCTGCACGAGTCGTCGCGCGCCCACCAAGAGGAGCTGGCGGTGCGCAAGCGCTTCGAAGAACGCATCCAGGAGCTCGAGTTGATGCTGGAGAACGGTGGCTTTAAAGGGGGGCCGCGCACTTCGGACGAATATGCGCTACGCCTTGACGAACTCGACCGCGAGCGGCAAGTTATGGAGGAGGACAAGGCGCAAGTGGACCGGTACAAGCAGCTGCTGCTGAAGCAGCGCGATATCATGCTGAGCCTCACGACGCGACTTAACGAGCGGGATGAGACGATCCTGCAGCTACAGGAGGAGGTGGACGCGTACGACGCGCAAGTGCAGATGCTGGAGGACACGCTGGAAGCAATGCAGCAGCAGCAGCAGAAGGCGAATGGGAGTCCCAACAGCAAGTCCTCCGTGCCTCTCTCACGGGCGCAGGCGGAGGAGTACGTGCAGCGTGCGCGAGCTCCCCCACGAGGCGGTAACAACGGTGGGGAGGTGCGGTACCGGGCGGATGTGAACCCGTCGGTGTTGCTCACAGCAGAGGAGAAGATGGTCGAGCTGCTGCTCAGCGATCGTGTGGAGGTGCATTCAGCGGCTGCGACGGCAGCGATGCAGATGGACGAGGATATGAAGCGCCACCTAAGTGGACTTGTGCAGGGCCGCGCTGAGACGATTGTGCAGCGGCAGCTTGATGATCAATTCTGGCAGCTGCGCCGCGAGCTGGAGCACGCGCAGGGCCAGCTGCTCGCAAGTGAACAGAGGCGCGACGCCTTGGAGCGGCTGATGGAGGCCGCAAAGGCGCAGCCCGCCGCTGTTCAGGATACCATTGTCCGCGCGCGTCGCCACATTGATGAGCAGCAGGAGATTGTACGTAAGGCGTACGAGGGTCGCATACAGGCCCTGCAGCAGCAGCTGTCGCAGGAGCGTGAGCAGCGCATGCGTCTCACCAGTGAAGTGGACACGTTGGGTGTGGAGTCGCGCAGGGCGCTGGAGTGCTGCACCACTGCAGCTCAGCGGGCGGAGATCAACGACGTCTGCCTGGCACTGCAGCGATTAGAGGAGCTCATTCGCCGAGAGACGCGGCAAGGCGTAGGGGAGGCAGTGGCGGCGGTGTGTGGTAGTGGTATCAATGGCGGCAGCGGCTGCAAGAACGGCAATAGTAATAATAGCGGCGGTTCAGCAGCAGCGGCGGCGGCGGCGNGCCTGGCACTGCAGCGATTAGAGGAGCTCATTCGCCGAGAGACGCGGCAAGGCGTAGGGGAGGCAGTGGCGCGTGCGGCGGAGGCAGTGGCGGCGGTGTGTGGTAGTGGTATCAATGGCGGCAGCGGCTGCAAGAACGGCAATAGTAATAATAGCGGCGGTTCAGCAGCAGCGGCGGCGGCGGCGACACAGGAGCTGGAGAGTCAACTGCGGGCGCTGAAGAGCAGCCACTCGAGGCGCGAAGAGGAGTGGCGTGCCGCCCTGCAGGAGAAGGACGGGACGGCGCGTCAGCTGGAGGAGCGGCTACGCAATGCCCACGCCGGTATCGACGAGGAGATCGCGACGCTCACAAAATCCCTCAACACGCACAAGAAGGACCGCCGGGCGCTCCAGACAATCATGGAGCAGCGCATCAAGGTGAAGATTGACGCGATATGTGAGCTTGTCGCAGCTGGGCCGCAGCTTCCACCGCAGGAACGCAATCGTCTCTGCACGGAGGCCCGTGCACTGCAGAACTTGGTGAACGCATCCATCAGGGCTATGGAGTCGTGAGCGTCCTTGTGCATCGGACGCGTGTTTTGTTTTTGTTACCTTCATTTTTTTTTTGCTTTTAGTGTGATTCCGTGCATGCCCGTGTGTGTGGGTGTGCGTGGCTGCTGCTGCTGCTGCAGGAGGGAGAGGAGCGGGCGTAAGAGAGCGACGCTCTCTCCCTCGGCGTCCCCCACTCCCTCCCGGCCCCCGCCGCTCCGTCATTAGATTTGTGGCCCCGTCGCACCTCACAACTGCATCGTGAGGGCCGAGACCAGCAGCAGCAGCGGCGGCGGCGAGTGCAGCATCCATGAGATGAGTCTTATAGAGCGAAGAAGAGAGAGAGAGGGAGGGGGGAGGAACAAGAAAAAAGGAACAGGCTAGGCGAGAGAGAAGCCGTGGCTTTGTTTTTCTTTTTCTCTTGCGTGTGTGTAATGTGTGTGAGCGCCTACCGCCACTAGTGACTACACGGTCCCCACGCGCCTCGTTTCTGTGCTTTATTTTGTTCCTCGCACGCCGCCACCACTATCACATCCACGCGTTAGAGGGCGAGCTGGGGAGGGAGGGAGTGAGGAGCACACGAAACGAACGCTGTGTGTGTGTGTGTGTGGATTTGTGTGTGCGTGTGCCGTCCTGCAGCACGCTGAGACATCTCGCACTCAGACGCGCACACAAATACGTGTTTGCCTGAGCCATGCGCAACCGCACACGCATATATTTATATTTACATCTATATAAAGCATCCCCTCAATGTCTGTCTGTATGTCTGTCTCTCCGCCTCCCATTCTCCCCATGTGTCCCCTGCAGCACGTAGTGCTCAAATGTCACGCGAGCACCCCCCGCAGCAGCTTCACCAAGACCAGCAGCCCACACCACCACCAGCAGCAACGACGCCGATTATTCTTCGCTGCAACATATTCGTCAGCGGGCGCGTGCAGGGCGTCTTTTACCGCAACCACACGCGGCGGGCGGCGCAGGCGCGTGGGGTGCGCGGGTGGGTGCGCAACCTGCCAGACGGCCGCGTTGAGGTGATGGCGGAGGGCAGCAGGGCGGCGGTGGACGACCTTGTGAAGTGGTGCCACGTGGGGTCGCCCAAGTCGCGTGTGGACGCTGTCGACGCGACAGTTGTGGCAGAGGGTGACGCGTACACGTTTGCGACATTTGAGGTGCGGCGCTGACGAAACGAGCGAAGAGGTGCGAGTGGAGTTGGCGCGGAAGGGGTGTGGTGTGGGTGGCACTGCTGTGGAGTTGCG